GACGGCTAGTTTTGGTCCCTTGAACCATGGAAAAAACAATGACAGAAAACGCATTGACCTCGAGTCCACCTCCCAGCACGTACTACCGTCTATAAATGTATAAATTTCTACATTATAAAAAACACAGGCACGATCCTTGCTGTATTCAGTGAGACGAAAAGAGGTGACACTGTATTCTATAGCTTAGCTGGGCATGAATAAATCATCTTTGTAGACTCTCTTACCTTTACAAAGCGACAACGACTCACACGTAGGACGCCATTACTGTGATTACATTGGAACCCAGTCTCTTGCTCGCTCTGGAAATGATGAACAGGTTGGACTGGGAAGGACTGGGTATGTACAATGGAAGGGTAGGTACTGGAGTGAAACAGAACCTTGTCCATCCTAAGGGCCTGTTTACAAGGAGGGAGGGTTACCCTAGCAAGCGGGTTAACCCTGGCTGGAGGGCTAAAGATAGCCCACGTTTACAAGCCAAATTTTACAGGTAGGGTAACCCTACAACCCGGGACAACTTAATCGCGCGTGCACAAATGACGCAAGCAACCCTAAGAATGAACGAAAACCACTTCAGCAATTGAAAGGCATTAAATCACTTCAGTATAAGTAGCAATAGTTTCAAACTCCGTTCAAACATGTGTTTAAGACTAGGGCGAAAAAAACATGACAAAAAACTCGACAAACAACCGGTAAAAGAGCTCTAAATTACTTTTGCTTTCTCGCATGCGATGCATGAGCGCGCGCTTAAATAAAGGGCATGCACAATTAAATTCTCGTCCAAGGTTGTAAAAGCCAGTCTTTGATTGAAGATTGCTCGAAAACCTACCGTGCAACCCATGATGAAATTTTCACAGTCGATTTGTAGGGGTGAATCACGTCTTATTTTGCATGAATGTTAAATCAGAGCCAATTTCTTATTCCTGAGATTTTGAGGTGGGGTCATACGGGTAGATTTTGAGAAAAACGTAATTTAACCTACTAGTGCCCAGTCTTTTCTTGGGTACTCGGTCGTTCATTTTGGCCATTTGTTGACGTTTAATTGTTCAAGTTTCACATAAAATGGTAAAAGACTTAAGTCAACAGTAAATAGAGAAAGGAAAAACATGTTGGAACATTTTTCCAAAGAGTTAGAAGTTGGGCTGTTATAATCAATCAAAACTGTAGTAAGCCACCTTAACGCGCGGTTACACTCAAAGGGTTTGAAACAATTAGAAACTTAACCCGGGTGGGCGGATTAACCCTACCTGGAGTGTTTGCAAGGAAAAAAGATAACCCGCCTGCCAGGGTAACCCTAGCACGCAAATAGGGTAACCCGCCTACCCGGGTAACCCTAGCTACCTTGTAAACAGGACGAATAAAAAAAAGAGGAAATGTGTGAGTGCTAGGGTAACCTGCTTGCTAGGGTAACCCGCTTACTAGGGTANTCACGTCTTATTTTGCATGAATGTTAAATCAGAGCCAATTTCTTATTCCTGAGATTTTGAGGTGGGGTCATACGGGTAGATTTTGAGAAAAACGTAATTTAACCTACTAGTGCCCAGTCTTTTCTTGGGTACTCGGTCGTTCATTTTGGCCATTTGTTGACGTTTAATTGTTCAAGTTTCACATAAAATGGTAAAAGACTTAAGTCAACAGTAAATAGAGAAAGGAAAAACATCTTAGAACATTTTTCCAAAGAGTTAGAAGTTGGGCAGTTATAATCCATCAAAACTGTAGTAAGCCACCTTAGTGCGCGGTTACACTCAAAGGGTTTGGAAACAATTAGAAACTTAACCCGGGTGGGCGGGTTAACCCTACCTGGAGTGTTTACAAGGAAAAAAGGTAACCCGCCTGCCAGGGTAACCCTAGCACGCAAATAGGGTAACCCGCCTACCCGGGTAACCCTAGCTGCCTTGTAAACAGGACAAATAAAAAAAAGAGGAAATGTGTGAGTGTTAGGGTAACCCGCTTGCTAGGGTAACCCGCTTACTAGGGTAACCCTTTCTCCTTGTAAACAGGCCCTAAGTCTCCGAACTTGCAATCAAGCGGGGTTTTTTTGGAAAGGGAGAAGGGAAAATGGAGCAGGGGAAATATAAGGGAGGGTTACTCCAGGTTAAGTCCATCATTCATACAATCCTTTTAAAGTATCTTGAATTTGTTTCCCTTTACAAATATCGTACGGACCTCCCATCCGCTGTGGAATTGGGCCAGTTTCACCTTGCATAAGGACCATACGGACGGTGCGCCTGAAATTTGAATTGATAAATCAGGATTCACCAAAGGGATTTATAACTACAAAAGGTGAAACATTTTTTGTCTCCTGAGCTTTTAATTTGGCGCAAAATGGGTCTCCCGCGTTGGCAACTCGCCCCTCGATCGCTGTCGCCAAATAGGATTAAAGTTTTGTCATTTTGAACAAAATCAGTATGCTGTCCCTAGTCAAATTAAAACACTGTCAATCGTACTGTGGGCGAATCCGCCGTGCAAGGCCGTTCGCGTGAGCTCTTTCCTTTACTGACTC